CGACTGCAGAAAGTGCTACCAGTGTGAATGAAAGATACCTTACAAACCTGTCGAGAATTAACGCGAAAGCAGCTAGCTCAAAAGAGGAAGAAACGGCGAAATTCGCGAGTGACAAGGGGGCGCAACGATGAAAAAACAACTGTTTAAAGTATAACAACCATCATAGTTCTAACATTAATATCGTTCTCTCGATCCAACGATGTTAGATTTGTCGCAGAGGATGAATAAATTTGTGAAAGCTTCCAGAATGTTTGCAGTTTATCAGTGACGAGGTCCACTACTTCCTGCACAAAATCATGCAAATTATGCGTATTCAGCTCCAGCACTGAAATAACTCATTCCTTCTCTGTACATTTATGTCAGCGATAGGCAAAATGAGAGATGGAAAGCTCAAGGAGAAAATGTAAAGGAATTTGACGGGCATTATAAGTTTGCTGAAAACTTCCCTACCCTGTTCGACAGCGAAGGAATGCAACGACGAAACAGTAGTTTTGCACCGCAAAAACATAAACGCGTGGTATTACTTAATTCCGAGTTCCATCCAGGAGAAAAGCGTTGTTTAATACTTTATTGCCCACTAATGGAAAAGTGCCGAATCAAAATCAGGATGATCAGAGGCGGATCCACGGCGGCCTCGTGGAGTGGGGAAAGAAGGAGACTCCTGCGAGGACAGAGGGAAAGCCGCGGGGGAAGGGAGGGGCGAGAAGGGGGGAGGATAGTTTTCTAGAGTTTTAGCAATGGTACCTGTGCTGCTGCGAGGGAAAAAGGGGGGCGGGAGGAGGGGGCGAAAGGCCCGTCGTTCCTACCCCCTACATCCACCTATGAGGACGAAGAGTACAAACCGGCGGTCCAAGGCACACTGAATTGGAAATTATGGTAGTACAAGAGTTAGCATGTGCTTCCACTCAACCTAATCCTTAGCGCATTCGCCCCTGTTGAATACAATATGATATTTGACGTCTCCATACGTAGGCAAGCGTGAAAGATGAATTTAAATGCTTTGGAATGCACATAAACCAGGGAATATCTTTATGAAGTTTCGAGGTTGCAGCTTTTGACATGAAAAAAAAAAAAAAAAAAACTATGAAATTATGAAGATACTTACATGATAATGTGATGCTTGACGAATCTTTTTTATTGTTTGCTTGGTCGAGCGCTGAAATACGGTATATTGGTGAGTTCTAAATATTTCCATCTCCCAAATGTTTCGCATTTATTAACAGAAGGCTCTTGAAAATATCTTGAATGATAAATGTTGTCAACAGCAAATACTACCGATAAATTTTTTCCCAAGAATCGCTTGACAACAAGCTAAAGGGAGCTTGATTCCCCGGTAGATTGAGCCAGATCGATTCAACAAAAAGCAAAAACCCTCCATATATTCATCCAGCAACAATCCTCCCCCCTTCCCAAATTTTCTTTTAAGTGAAGATACAGAGGATTTTTGTTCTGGATGATTGTTGTTTATAAAAGCCAACAGCAATCACCCAAAACGAGCCAAAAAATCGTGCAAGAAATATTCGCCTTGTCGACGGATTCTAAAACTAACAACTGAAGTTTTACAGCAGGCAATACTTAAGAAAAAATTTTGTAATTTTTCTTAAATATGTAAGAAATAATGAGGAAAATTTTCCAAAGAACCTAGTTTGAGATGTTTTGCTTGTGTTTGCCAAAGAAGATCTTCCAGCCAGCAATGATATGCCGTAATGCAATCCCATGCAGGATCCGAGTTTGGTTCCAGCACCTGCAAAATATGAAAATTTTGAAATATTTCTTTTCCCCTTCACCGACACAGTGGCTGTTGCTGAGGCAAAAATCTAGTTCAGTGATCGAAGAAAACGCGCAATTTTACGCATAGGAACGAAGAAAAACATACGGGAAGCAAAAAAAAGAGCCAAAAAAAAAACGAAGCAAGAAAGAACCAAAAAAAACCAATTCGGTATGAGCAGGAGATAAGATCAAATCACATTAAAATTTTGCGAGACAACGAACCCAATGCGATTAGAAATTACAAAGAAGGCAAATTCCCGTTACCTTCAAATATTTTATCAGTTTGCTTTGGTCTTCAAACGAAGTTGGCATATCAATTAGCCGTTGTTTCATGTTTCTCTTGAATACTTCCATTTTCTGATCCAGCTCAGCCATCACTTAAAATATCCCTCATTTACCTCAAACTCAATCAAAGAGGCGCCTCTTCAAACGAGTGCATTTTTCTTCGCCGATTTCCTCTGTCCGTCATTGTAAATCTCAAAACACGAGGCTCTATCTCAAAAAAAAAAAATAATTGGCCAACGAACAGGCTGCCCCGCGCGACGATGCGTTTTTTGCACGGTTTCACGCAGCTTTGCTGCAAACGGAACCGGTTTTTTCGGCAAA